ATTTGCTCTATTTTGCTTTGCTTGATTTACTTTTTTCATGTTTACAGGTCAACCTAAAATCAGAGTTCCAAAAAAAAAGAAAAGAAAAGAAGAATCATACCAAAAACCAAATACATAAAATGAGCCACAAACTATGAAAATGAAGAATCAAACCTAAAAAAGGGTTTAACCATACTAGATATATAGGGTAAGTAGAAGTAGATATACAGATATCAAGTGCCAGTGGGTTAGATTGGTTCAATTAAATTATGACTTGGCAAATGGTTTAATTAAACCAACAAATACTTACTTAAATTCAGTAAACAAATTCAAAGATACTAAATGATCAAGCAAACATTTTCTGCTTTCTTAAACAAAACCTTTTTAAAGATTAAGTTTCAAAACAAAAAAAAAATCATGGGAACGAATAAATAATACGTGATAAGCAATAAACAAAAAGTTTTGATAGTAACTAACAACTGGTGACTAAATGCACACCCTCAAAAATTATAATTAAAATATAATCTTTGAAACACATGAAACACAAACATTAAGCAAACATGTGTGTTTACTAAAGAGAAATTTGACATCAAAACCATAATTACTTGCATAAGCAATATCTAAGTAAGCTTACTTCACAAAAGGAAAAAAAACAAAAGATCAAAATACAAAAAAAAAAAAAAGAATGCCATAATTGAAAAGGAAAAGCATCCAAAATACTTTGCAATATGTGATGATAGGCGACGTTGATGCTGAAATGTAAATTAACGAATAGAGTGCAAAACAATAAACAAAGACAGAATTATACTCACATCCGAGAAGCATCTGAGTTAAAAACCTAGTTGCTAATTTGGTAGAACAAATGCATAATAATATTTTAATTCATGTTAGAGGTGTTATTTGTCCTACCGAAACATTGAATTAGGACATAATCTGTAGCAAACATTGTAAATGTCATCTCAGTAAAAAACAGTCCATACTTTTAATTCTATAAATTGGACTTAGACTATTTATACATACACAATGGAATTAATATATCTCACACAATAATGATAATATAAGTAACGTTCATGAGCAACAACATGTTTGGATCCGATTGGAGAGCCATATGTCCACGTTGAAAGACAACAGGTCCAATATTAAGTTTATAAAAGCACAGACATCTTTTAAATACCATAAAGCAGTGAATTTAAAACAAAAAATTTGTGTATTGGAAGTATGATAATGTTGACATAAGCAAGGTTTATGACTAATGATGGATTAACATCTCATTACCATAAAACAGTAAATTTAAAATAAAAGATTAGTATATAAGAAGTATAATAATGTTGACATAAGCAACGTTTACAACCAATGATGTGTTCACATCTCATCCTAGGGCATTATGTAAAAGAATTTGCACATAAAAAGCATAACGATATTTTATAACACACCAAATATAATCTGACAGTATGAAAAATCATGAAACAAGGATATTTAAAAAAAGAGAAAGAATTAAAGTTAAAAACTCTGTGCGGTTACTTTATAAGACACAATGATCAACTCCAAATAGGATTTGATACCAAAATTAACCTCACCTTAATAATTAGTTGCTTGACCCAATTTTGTTGCAAAATAAATATAACAAAGAAATCAATAACAAAACACATGAAGAATAAGAAGGCATTAAATATAAGTAATACAACAAAAGTAAAAAGGAAAAAAATTTTATACTAAAGGCCAAAATGGCAAGGTCAACTGTCCAGCATCAACAAATATAGCTTGCTCATTACCATCTATATATGGCTTTACAGCAAAAGTTTTTATCATTTTTGAATTCATAGACAATGATTTAAATGATGAAAATTTGTGGTCGGATTTAAGAATTTGCTACCTTTTTTCCTATATGCCTGCTTGTTTTTTTTTTTTCTTTTGTCCTTTTCTTTCTACTCAATTAATGTTTATTATATTGATCTAAAGTCCTCACTTTCTGCTGCTCTTGAAAATCAAATCATGTTCACACTCACACACATAAATTGTTCTAATTTACTAATTCAGATTTCTTATGCAGTTGACTCATTTAATTAGCTATTTCCATATATTGTGTTACGTAAGTATTTGTGCTCAAACTAATTAACACTGATCAATTATTCTTAATTTTAAAGATCGTGAAGCAATGAATTGAACCCAAAAACTTTGTATATCAAAAGCATAATAATGTCCACATCCGAAGGTCATGTCTTGACATCAAAAGACAGAAAAAGCAATTGTAATTTTATAAAACCATACACATCTTTTAAACACCATGAAGTAGAAAATTTAAGCAAACGACATTAAACAAAGCATCAAATGCATATAATGTTCACATTTGAGGGTCATGCCTTAACATCAAAAGATAGGAAATGCAGTTCTAGTTATATAAAACTATACATATCTTTTAAACACTATAACGTAGAAAATCTGAGCAAATGACAACCAACAAAACATGAAAACAGATATCTAAATAAGAGGTACAATGATCAAGCCCAAACACAGTCTGATCCCAAACTCAACCTCACCTCAATAACTGATTGCTTGATCCAAGTTTCCTGCCAAAAAACAATGAGAAAGAAATCAATTATGAAGTGCACGAAGAATGAGAAGACAGAAAATGAAAAAAATTGAACAAATGTAAAAAATAAAAAAAAAATAAACAGTAAAGACCAGAATACCAATAAAAGGGATGGGAAAAAACACTAGCTCATCTTATCATTGAACATCGTAATAAACAGAATAAAAATAACAAACTGAAAAGTATTCTAAACCTGTTCTACTGCATCTTAATATAGCCTCTTTAATCGTTTGTTCGATCAAATTTCCCTAAACACGAATGGGAAAAGGGCAAAAACATATATATATACTAACAAAGCAAATAATCAAAAGAACAACACAAGGAACTTCACAAACAAAGCAAATCTACAACTATAATTAAAAGCACATAGTAAAGATAAGATAATCAAAAGTATGATTGAAACAGCAAAAATGGGAGAAGCGGTTTCCACCCAAAAAAGGCAAAGCTGATGAGGTAAACATAGAAATAGCAATCAACTGGATACAAAGAGAACCACGAAGAGAAGATGGAAAGAGTTCAAACAGATAATCGACAGTGTAAAAACCCTATAAGAAACTTTTGGAGACCCAAAAGTCAACCAACAAGGACAATAGAAAATCTATGATGGACGTGGAGAAGACATGCTCCAAATATCGAAACATGACATCCATTTTAGACCAGCCACGTCTCTTGGCCGTACAAGTCTCAACGGTTGGGTCCAAATCCCTATAAACCAAAGCCCCCTCACTGGAATGAAGCTACAAAAATGATTGTACAATGACTTTACAAAGATGACTATATAAGGAGAGAAAACGCGAGGGAGGAAAACCTGAGGCAAGACTGATGGGTCATGTGGGCAAGGTGCATGCCCACAAAATTTTGAGGTGAGAATGAAGGCCGCCCAAACAAGCCTTAAACGAAAACACATTGATGTAACCCAACCAAAGTCACCCTAAGGCAAAACCCATTACCCTTTGGGGCTTCCTTTGACATGGGGTTATTGATTATTGTAAAAGGGGCTAAATTCAAAATCTGACTTGCTTGTTGTAGGCGGAAAACTTTGTAATCTTGAATTTGCCAACTTTAATATTTTTTTGTCTCCTTATGATGAGTAGGCCTATGGATATTACTATCTAGTTAAAGTTATACATGCAAACTTACTGCAATTATCAAACCCTATTGTTATCTAAGAATTTTTTATATTTGGAAAGTTATATGAACTTCAATTGCAACTTTACTTCGTTAATGTAATATTATAGCAGAACTACTTTGTTTGTTGGTCTGTTAGGGATGTAGATCATACTTAGTTCTAAGAACAAAAAGCCTGAAAGATTTGGATTTTAAATTTGAAAAAAAGGCACACCAGAAGTTTGATATTGAAACATTAAGGCAGAGCAGTGAATCATATTTTTGCTGACAATATAATATTAAAATTTTAAAACAATGGTTCATTGACAACAATCTAGCAAATCAATATTAGGACTATGGCAATGCCGAAAGATGAACTCCACTAGAACCGAGATATAACCCCATAAAAGACCAAAAATAAACCAGAATTAAGCACCACCTATATATTTGTGTTGCCTTTAGGCATTTGGCTCTGATTTTTAAGTTTTGTTTTCAGACATTATTCCACTTCAATCCTTAGCTAGACCAAGTGGTCAGTCAACTCATCATCTTCAAAGTAAGCAGCTAGGTTTGGGATGCCATTTTCAACATTGATCCGTGTTTCACCAGTCCTTTTTACTGGTGAGCCTTTTCTCACTCTCTCCCAAAGCTCTTAGGAGCTTGTTTGCTCCTGTGCACATATGAGCACCATAGCCACCAAGCTATGAAATACAACAAAAGAATTAACAGGAAAAAAATATTGTCCAAGCAATTGAACACAACAACATCAAATAATAAAACCCATATCTTAAAATCTCGACACACACAAGATTCCCATAAAATCGACGACGTGATAACCTTTGATTAGTTTTTATTAAGATTCGATTTATTTGGTACAAAACAATAATTCGAACGAATGTCGAATCGAAATAAAAAAAAAAGAATGATATGACACTTTTTTGCATAATGCCTGGCTTATCCGACAACGGGGTTTAATGTGACGTTTTAAAAGGGTCAAAAAGTTCGTTGATTTATAAAAAGCGCGTGGTAACGCGCTGACATTGTGGCGCGAGGATGTCAAAGTCTAGCAAAGAACAGCGAAAGAAGTGGCTTTGGATTTAGATTAGATGCTATGTCTGGCTGTGTCGTTACTCGGTAACCGACCTTGTAACCCCAATGAAACCCCCCACCAAAAAGCAACACCTCACTCCATATGCCCTTCCCCGTTTCTCCATTTTGAGAGGCAACAAAAAAAAAAAAAAACTTGAAAAACAGCGCGCGCGTAGCCTAATTCGTGAATCAATCCTTTCATATATATATATATATATATATATATATTCATTCACTCCCCATTTTTTGAAATTGAAAAACCCAAAAACAAAAAGTATCATCTGACAATTACCAACCCTCCCCTCCGTCTCCCTCTTCTTTTTATTAATTTATTATAAAAAAAACTCTCCAAAAAAGGGAAAAACAGAAAAAAAAAAGAAGAAGAAATGAAGAAGAAAACAACAATGGGATCGATCACGATTAGAGAGAGAGAGACTGTTCTTCGTTGTTGCTTTGTTCCTCGATTCTCCTTTTCGCCGAATCTAATTTCTGATGCTTTACTCTTTTTTGTTTTTATTACTGCTAATGCTACTACTACTACTATTGTTGTTATTATTAATATTATTTATATTTTCCTCAACAATCTTTCATTATTATTTTCATCCGCGACACGACTAACGCTATTATCTTATTCATTCATTATTATTATTTGGAATTGTTATTCCCCAAATATCACCGCACATCTCAATCACACACACACCAATACAACATGGATTGTTGGAGAGAGAAACTTTTGTACGATACGATACGCTTTTCTTTTAAAGAGAGAATGACTTTGCAGTTGTAATGTTTGATTTAATTATTTTTTTTCATTTATCTTTTTGTCAAATCTACACCACTTTCAATCCCTAGTTTTAGAGAGCGAATCTGCCTGTTTTCTTCTTCTTCGTGGGGATTTTATTTTTTTTTCTATAAAAATTCGGTGATTTTCTTGATTTTGAAGCTCTTTGATGATCTCATTTTCAGTGTTTGAGAGAGTGAGAAACTCAATTTCAGCTTTGTTGTTGAATTTTTAGGGATTTTTTACTTTGATCTCGAGAAATGGAGAGTGGCGGTGTTAGTGGCGGCGGAGGTAGTTCGGAAGGAGAGAAGAAGAAGCCACCGGAAGGAGAAACAAAAGTCAAGCGGAAAATGAAGACGGCTTCTCAGCTTGAAATTCTAGAGAAAACATATGCCAGTCTGTTACACTTTCTCACTCACTCCTCTCTTTCTATGGTGTTTTTTCTTTTTGCGGTTAATTTGTTACTACATTTTCTAATTCGGTCCTGTTTTAGTGGAAATGTACCCGTCAGAAGCTACACGGGCGGAATTATCGGTGCAATTGGGGCTTTCGGATAGGCAGTTACAGATGTGGTTCTGCCACCGCCGGCTCAAGGATAGGAAGGCGCCGCCGGTGAAGCGGCGGAGGAAGGATTCTTCGTTGCCAGTTCATGTCGTTGGAGCAGCAGGAGAGGAAATGGGAGGTGGTGAGGCGGGAAATGAGCGTGGATCAGATGTGTCCAGTTTGTTCGGGCATGGGCTGGACCTGAGAAGGGCGGTTCCAAGACCCGGAATGGCTGTTCCAAGGTACTACGAGATGCCTCACTCGATGGCGGAGCTGGAGCTTCGGGCTATAACATTTGTGGAATTACAGCTGGGTGAGCCTATAAGGGATGACGGTCCTATGCTTGGGATGGAGTTTGATCCTTTGCCACCTGGTGCATTTGGCGCGCCAATAGGCAAGTAGTTGAAATTGCTCAGCCCTTGCTGAAACAATGTGAATGTGGTTGTTGAAATTTAGCTTAATTATGCGTTTGATAAGAATTTTTGACACGGATCATGTACTGAGAACTTGTTAGATTTTGACAGTAGTACTTTAAGGCTAATTTTAAAGGTTGTTTGGTTGGATTTCAACTTGCTTAAAAACATGTAGCTTCTGCCACTAGGTTTTTGTAACATTTTTAACAGTTTGCAGAGGAGGTGGGTAACATGAAGTTAGGAATTCTTCACACAGAAGAATTATCTGTGTGTGATGAATGCTTATTTTTATATTATCCTTTTTTCTGCTTGAAGAAAAGGTTGAAACTTCTTTAGGCTAAGTCCGCTACTGGTCTTACCCATAAAAACAGTTACTGCATGTGTGCAAATATAGGATGCAGTGGCTTAGCACCATAAGGAGTTGAAGGAGGAATGGTTTTCTCATCAACATTGTAAGCTTGATCTAAACTGTATGCATATATTGAGTCACCAAGAGTGCAGTTTCTACAGAAGTAACAGTTTAGTTTTGAATTTTATGCTTCAGTGGTTTGTTTTTCTATTCTTCCTGAATTGATTCCATTTTTTCTCAAAACCTCTGACTCGATGTTATAGCCATATACCTAACATTTAATATACTGTCCTTGGCTTTTGTGTATATAATTGTTCTCTATTGGCGTCACATCAATCAGCATTGAGTGCTAAGGGTACTCTTCTAACTAAATGTTTTTATGTTTTGCTAGGAGCATCAACAGCAGTGCAGCAGAAACAATCAGGACAGCCTTTTGAGACCAAAATATATGAGCGACTTGATACAAAAGCAGTCAAGGTTAGATTTCATTCACTTCACACGTGGCATGGGTAGGGAAAAAATGTGAAGATGTCTCATCCTGATTTTTTTTCTCCGTCATAAGAGGTTTTTAGTGCTTTTTGCTTTACATGCTTTTGATTAATGCCTGCCTCTTTAGGTTTGGCTAGTTTTACTGGCACCAAGGAAAACTATAAAATGGGAATATATATTATTGCTCTATTTCTTAACTAGACCTTGGGAAACTTGGGGGACTTTAAACTCATTCATCTTTTCTGTATCATATGATTAGAATATTTTATTTTCTGCTGCAGTGATCCCAGATAGGAAAGATATTGGATTCCGACTCTTAAATTGTCTGTTAGGTGCTTTCATTCGATGAATTTTATATGGCTGATAAATACTTGTTTATTGGTATAATGAAGTTGAATGGACTAAAGAAACAGCTCTTTTCATTTATTCTTCAATTTTTCAACCTGCCCGATTTCCACACTCATCCATCTACTCTGTATCTTATGATTGGAATATTTTAAGTTTCTGCTACACCAATGCCAGATAGAAAGCATATTAGATGGCCAGTCTTAAGTTGTCTGTTAGGTGCTTTCATATGGTGAATGTTATATGGCTGTTAAATACTTGAATTTTTAGTAAAATGAAGTTGAATGGACTAAATAGAAACAGCTCTTTTCATTCATTCTTCATTTTTTAACCTGCCTTATTTGCACTCTGATTATTTGTTTTGGTAAGCATCATCTGTAGAACAATGTAGAAAACTTTATTTTCCTTGTATCAAAATTAAGTCTAGTAATAAGAAATTAACTGAAACTGTTTCATCCTCAGGGTTCTGTGAGGGCAGTTCATGAATATCAGTTTCTTCCAGAGCAGCCATCCGTTAGAACTGAAACATATGAAAGAGTTGCCCCATCCTACCACTATGGTTCACCTACCGATGGTCCACATGCCAGGGCCTCATCATTATCTACTGGCTGTTCATTTGTGCATGGGAATGAAAAAGTACCTTCTGGATATGGTTTTCCAGGTCAGATGCCTAATCTGAATCTTTTGCCTCAGCAAAGCAGGCAAGGGCACCTTTTACCTACTGCTTCAGGAGAGTATGATAATTGTTCACGAAAGAACTCTTTAACAAATACTACTGTTGATGCTATTATTGGTGCTCACCCAATTTCTGCACTGGAAAGCCCATTTGTATCATCTGACAGGAGGGTCAATCTTGATGAGGATGCTTTGCGAATGGAGAGGAAGCGCAAGGTGTACTGTGATTTGCAATTAAGTATCACATGGTTTTTACTCATTGAATGGTATCTCATGAATCTTTATCTACATTTTGTAGAGTGAAGAGGCAAGAATAGCACGAGAAGTTGAAGCCCATGAGAAAAGGATTCGAAAGGAGCTTGAAAAACAGGATATATTGAGGCGAAAGGTTGGGCTTGCTATCTTACCCCTTCTTTTGGTCCGTGAGTTTTATAAGTTATGCACTGATATTTTCTTTGAATATTAAGCGAGAAGAGCAAATAAGAAAAGAAATGGAGAGACATGACCGTGAAAGGCGGAAGGAAGAGGAGAGGCTACTACGTGAAAAGCAAAGGGAGGAGGAGAGATACCAGAGAGAGCAGAGGCGTGAACTAGAGCGTAGGGAGAAGTTCTTGATGAAGGAATCTATTAGAGTAAGTATTGGAGCTTATTGTTTAAGTTTTTCTGAACTTTAGCATACGGGTTGAGGACATAATTATGTCTTATGTACTCAGGTCGAGAGAATGCGGCAAAAGGAAGAACTGCGTAAAGAAAAGGAGGCAGCAAGGCTTAAAGCTGCTAATGAGAGAGCTATTGCTCGTAAACTTGCTAAAGAATCAATGGAACTGATTGAGGATGAACGCTTGGAACTCATGGAATTAGCTTCATCAAGCAAAGGGCTATCTTCAACACTGTCACTTGACTTTGAAATCTTGCAAAATCTTGATATATTTAGAGGTAGGTTATTTTTGGATGCCTCTTTTGCCATATTCTTCTATCTTTTGGATGGTTCCTTCTGAGGTCTATGCTTCTATTGTTTTAGTAAAGGTAATTTTGCTGTAAATCATATCTTTAGTGGAAGAAGATTACTAATTTGATTCGCAATTCTTCCAATTAATTCACTTTTTTTTTCTGACAATATGATTGCCTTATTGATCTAATAGTCTTATATGCATGCATTTTTACAGGTATGGGGTCTGTCTGTATAGTCTGAGTAGGGACTATTAGAATTTGCCATTTTTTTTTAATACTTTTAGTCTATATTGTACGCAAATCTTGTGGCACTAATATGCCTGGTTTTGATCTTGACTGCCTGTTTATATTCTGAGCTTGCTTGGTATGGTATGAATTTTTAGCTTCAACTGTTTTATATTATTTTCATTTTGCCTGTTTTAGATAAGCTGTGTGTGTTCCCCCCGAAAGGAGTGCAATTGAAGAGACCCTTCTCAATTCAACCATGGAACAGTTCTGAGGAGAATATTGGGAACCTTCTCATGGTGAGCTCTGAGTAGTTGTTCACATTGTCGTTGATGTTGTCCTCCAGAAGTTTCAATCCATTTGTGTCTTGTTTGATTTTATTAATATATCACATAATATTCAATGACTATTAATAGAAATAATGAAAACAAATCATACAGCTCTTTTGGTTTTTGCCTTCTGTTTTCTGTTTTTTTGTTCCTTTTTTTGGAAATGGCAAAAACAGTATGTTTGCTTGTGTGTTTGCCATTTTCTGTAAAACCAAGAAGAAAAACAATGTTTCAAAGTTGTTGGAAAGTGGAAGAAAAAATAAAAAGAATCATGTTTCCCACAATTTGGATACAAATTTTAGGATCTGGACACTGTTCGCTGCTGCTGAACGGTACCCTCTTGCATGAACAGTGTCTCCTTTAATTGTCAAAAGGTATTCAAAGAGAAAAAGTTGTCGATGACAAGACTGGAACCCAAGACTTGTCTAACCAGCAATGCCACACTATTTTGTTGCCCTATCTTGCAACTACTACTTTATAACCAAATATGTTTCCTCAAATTAGAAACTGAAAACAAAACTTTCGAAATAAAAAAACATCAAGGAAAAAAAAATGGTAATGTTACCAAATGACGCCTTAGTTGTCAAAAGTAATTAATTGTCTGTTTTCTGCCTTGAACTTCCACTTTTTCTTGTTACTGTGTGACCATCTGAGAACCAGCTTTCATATCTGATGCATTCACAAGCATTATTGTTTACATTTTCTTGAAATGTGTAATCTTAGTAAGGATTGGGGTTCCTTTCCCTTGGTATTTTGGTCTGAACTGTGTCCTATTTGTGATTTAATGTAAAAATTTGACGATAGTTGTTGGCCTTGTTATGTTTTCTTATGTTCAGTTTGAAATTATGCACATGCTTTCAAAACATGTCTTTAGGCTGCAATTTAAAATCAATGGCTGTGCATTGTCTTCTATCTTTATGAAGGGTTTGTAATGTGACTTATAATTTTAGGTCTGGAGGTTCTTAATTACCTTTGCAGACGTTCTTGGACTTTGGCCTTTTACGCTGGATGAGCTTGTACAAGCTTTCCATGATTATGTAAGTTGTCTTTTTTCCCTATTTTTAGGTTCTTTTCTCCTCGATGATATCTTGTTATTGATTTAAATTTATTAGGAGCTGAGCTCCACTTTATTTTATCTTCTTTCATATGGATCTGCACTTTTTTCTCTTGGATGTTTCAGGATCCAAGATTGCTGGGTGAGATACATGTTGCTCTTCTGAGATCTATTATCAAAGATATTGAGGATGTTGCACGAACACCTTCCACTGGGCTGGGAGCAAGTCAAAATAGTGCTGCTAATCCTGGAGGTGGGCATCTGCAGATTGTTGAAGGGGTAAGGTATTCTAAATTTGGCTGTTACTGCTGTATATATAGTTTATGGTTAGGATTGTTTCTTTACATCTGATAAATTTCTACCCTTCCTTTCCTGTGGTGCATTATGTATCAGGCATATGCTTGGGGTTTTGATATACGCAGCTGGCAGGGCCATTTAAATATGTTGACATGGCCTGAAATTTTGCGGCAATTTGCTCTGTCTGCTGGATTTGGGCCACAGTTGAAAAAAAGAAATATCGAACAGGCATATCTTCGAGATGAAAATGAGGTGCATTCTTTTTCATTTGGTATTGTGGTTTTGTTTTATTGTTGGTTATCTTCCTAGTAGAGAAGTGATCTGTGTTTTCATATGGAACCATAAAATTTAGTTATTATTCTATTTTAACTAAAGTGCCATTGGCTTTTCAGGTGATGTAGTCTTGACTTCTAAATGTAATTAGCTTATGCTACAGAATTTAATAAGTACTACTTGTATCACATTTTTATGTGGTTTACTTGATAAGGATGTTATACATAGTTGACTTTTGTGGCAAACAGTATTGATTTTGGGGTAGAAAGGAGAATCTTTTACTTCAGGATGACACTTGTTTTGAGCGTATCCTATTTGTTAGTTAAGTGAATCAAGTTGTGAATGGCTCTAAGAACAAATTGTTAATTACCTTGAAATTTTGCTTATCTATGGAGTTCCGAGTGCTGAAGTACTGAATCATGTATTTCTTTCGACAATATCATTGTTTAGCTGCATGGTGGATAGATCAGGAAAACAGATGATAAAACCAAGTCTTTTGTGATCTGAACTAGTATTCTTTGATTGGATTGGTTAATGTGAGTTATTAGTTGATAAACAAGGTTGAAGCTGGGGTATTTCTCTCTAGGTACATATAGAAACTGGTTTGTATGTGGAAATATAATTAACAATGGCAATGTGGGTAAGATACCTTGGTTTATTGGATATGTTATCCATTTAAGTATGTGACTATTTGTGGAATGCAGATGAAAGGAGTGTGCCTTATCCTGAAGTAGTTGGTCATATCTTTCTTTTTAGTAAAACTGTTGTACATAGTATTTAGTGAGCAGAAAATTGTTATTCTGAAGATTTCTCTGCCCTGTTTATTGTTTTACTTCTAATGCACTATAGTCTGTCTAATCTTTATTTCCTTTTGTTTGAGATGTCTCTTTTCTCTTGGTAAACATTCATATATGTCTTGAGTTGATTAGTAGTGAACATGATTTTCTTCAAATTCTTCATTTGATAATTTTAAGCTAAGGCCTAGCTAAAGCAGTTTGAACAAAATGAAGCCTGTGAGTATAACAATTTTCTTGTTACCAAAGAAAAGTCTTACTCTTGTGGGCATAGTTTATGGTAGTGCATCTCTGATGATAATACCTTAAATTATGATGTTCAGTCAGTGAGCTTGAATTTGTTCGCTTTAACTTTTCTTTTTTGTGAAGAATTGTTAATCTTTCTTAAGTGTCAGTGTAGGGTAATGATGGTGAAGACATAATTTCTAATTTGCGAAATGGGGCAGCTGCTGAAAATGCTGTTGCTATAATGCAAGAAAGGGGTTTCTCTAATCCACGTAAATCTAGGCATCGCTTGACACCTGGAACTGTTAAATTTGCAGCATTTCATGTTCTCTCTCTTGAGGATAGCGAAGGCCTGACAATATTGGAAGTTGCAGAGAAGATCCAGGTAAGCTAGGTTGGTGACTATGCAGTTCTTGGATGCTGCTTTAGACTGAACTCCTTTTACCTCTTTTTCTTACATTCATTTTTTTCCCTATTCCGTGCGTTAATCTAAGAAATCTGGACTGAGGGATCTTACAACAAGCAAGACCCCAGAAGCTTCTATTGCTGCTGCTTTATCAAGGGATACAAAACTCTTTGAGAGAACAGCTCCTTCAACATACTGTGTGCGTTCTCCATATCGGAAGGACCCAGCTGATGCTGAGGCAATTCTTTCTGCAGCCAGGGAAAGAATCCGAGTATTGAAAAGTGGATTTGTAGGAGAAGATGCTGAGGGTGCTGAGAGAGATGAAGATTCTGAAAGTGATATAGCAGAGGATCTTGAGGTTGATGATTTGGGTGCTGAAATAAATCCAAAGAAAGAGATGCTCAATTCTGAGGGAAGTAGCAGTTGTAATGCGAAAACTATCTTGGGAAATGAAAAGGAGATTTGTGAGATTCTGGAAACCCCGCAAGGTGAAGTTAGGAATGTATGTAAGGCTTTGTCCTCATCAACTGCTGGAGGTATTGATGAGGTAAAAGATATCGATGCCCCTGTTGAGCAATCAATGGACGCTACTGGAATTCCTAATGGTGCTGCCAATGCTGGTCTTGAAGACACGGAAATTGATGAAAGCAAGCTTGGTGAACCATGGGTTCAAGGACTTATGGAAGGGGATTACTCTGATCTAAGTGTTGAGGAGCGCCTTAATGCACTTATTGCTTTGATTTCCATGGCAATTGAAGGAAACTCTATTCGTGTTGTTCTTGAGGTGAGCTTTTCATTTTTTATTGAGTGACCTAATGAAGTTCTGTTTGATTATTTTTCTTTTTATATTCTAAATTGAAAATTGCTTTCAGGAACGCCTAGAGGCAGCAAATGCTTTAAAGAAGCAAATGTGGGCTGAGGCACAACTGGATAAACGGCGCATGAAAGAAGAGTTTGGATTGAGGACAAATTTTTCAGCACATATGGGGAATAAGATGGAGCCTAGCCTTATGATGTCCTCAGCTGAATGTAGGCAAAGCCCACAGATCATTGGTGATAGAAAACATAATGAATCATCTGTTGATCTTGTTGTGCAGCAAGAATGCTTAAACAATCCACAAAATGATCAGAATTATCTAAACAATGTGCCTTCTGAAGGGAACCTGCCAATACAAGATTTCTCTGTTGGACCAGATAATCTCCAATATCCACTACCAGGATGTGCAGCTGAAAGATCACGTTCACAGCTAAAATCTTACATTGGTCACAAGGCAGAAGAGATGTATGTATATAGATCATTGCCTCTTGGTCAAGATCGTAGACGCAATCGATACTGGCGGTTTATTACTTCTGCGTCTGGGAATGATCCTGGCTGTGGCAGGATCTTTGTTGAGTTACTTGATGGTCGTTGGAGACTCATTGATACTGAAGAGGTAGCAGTTTTCTCCCCAGCGGCTTTTAAATTCTGACAATGTTGTATGGTTTTATTTTCCATGCATGGAGCATGTTATGATTCCTGACATATGTTAGTTGCTTTTGTGTGCTCAGTTTCCTAAATTTTTCGTCTATGTATACAGGGTTTTGATACTCTATTGTCCTCTTTGGATGTGCGTGGGGTTAGGGAATCCCACTTGCATGCAATGTTGCAGAAGATTGAGATGTCCTTTAAGGAAGCTGTTAGGAGGAATAAGCTGCACGTCAATATGGAGAGGCAGAGTGGAGACACCATTAAGAAAGAAGCTAATGAAATGGCTTCAGGCCCTGATTGGAATGTCTCTTTTGAAAGTCCTAGTAGTACTGTAAGTGGATCTGATTCTGATATGTCGGAGACATCAATATCTTTCTCAATTGAGCTTGGCAGGAATGAAATAGAGAAATATGATGCCCTGAAGAGATATCGAGATTTTGAGAAGTGGATGTGGAAAGAGTGTTTTAGTTTGTCGTCATTTTGTGCCACAAAGTATGGGAAGAGAAGGTGCAAGCAGCTGCTGGGTGTGTGTGATTCCTGCTTCAATATTTATTTTTTTGAAGATAATCACTGCCCTTCTTGCCATAGGACCTATGTTGCCTCTCGAGTCACGTTAAATTTTTCTGAACATGTGGCTCAGTGTGCAAAGAAACTGCAATTGGGTCCTGGGTTTGCTTTGGATGGTCTAGTCATTTCTCCTCTGAGAATAAGATTAATTAAACTTCAGTTAGCTTTGGCTGAGGTGAGTGCCTTCTTCTTTACATCCCTCCTTAGATTTGAATTGAAACGTAATGAAGAGGGAGGGAATTTTGGGTCAGTAAAAAGAATTAATATGGGGCTTCCGACCTAGGTAGTAGCTTGAACTCAACAACATGATAAAATGGTGAGCATAGGTTACAAATGGTAGGGTGTCCCTCCTAATTTCTAAGCCTTTATATTATTTATTCTAGAATGTTGTGCTCTTTTTGGACAGTGTATTTGATTCATAGAAGGTGAACTTTTTGATTGCTGTAATCACCATAAGCTATAACTTAATATCTTTATGTTTATCCAATGCTGTATGTGGCTTATGGCTGTCTGCATTATCAATTGGCAGGTTTCTATTCCATTTGAAGCTCTTCAATCTGCTTGGACTGAGGGCTATCGAAATTTGTGGGGTATGAAGCTGTACTCCTCAGCAACAGCAGAAGAGCTTCTTCAGGTTTGTGTGCTGAGGTTTCATGTGTTAATCATATATCTGAACTTTAAAACATTCCTTGCTGTTATTGGCTCATAATCTTTAAAGAGGAGTGGACATTATGTATATGTTGCTTTGCATGACATTAGTTTTATCTTCTTTGAAATGTATAATGAATCAGTTCAGGGAATCTGAGAAGATTCAAAAGTGAAAGATAAGAATTAGACATGACATAGAAAGGAAAGAGAAGAAGCCAAATACAAGGGAAAGGAACATAGAGCTAGGAGGAAATTAGAGGAGAAAAGGAGGTTGGACTGGAAGCGGACAATTGTTGTTTCTTTAATTTAATGCAGGCTCAACTAAGCAAATTGAAAATTCCTAGGATCTTGGCAACTGTTTTCCATTCTACTTAATGGCTTCAGTAGTATGCAAGCATAACTTCCATGTTACCTAGGTAATAATGTGCCTTTGTGGTGCTTGCTACTTTTCCGAACGCATGATGAATCAACTGGGATGCTTTTTGTTTCTTTCCCAGTCCTTTATTTTTGTTAAGAAATTGGATTACTCACTCTTGTGCCCTCTTCAGGTTCTGACACTGCTGGAAAGTTCCATCAGGAGGGATTGTTTGTCCTCAAAGTTTGAGACTACGGGTGAATTGTTGTTTCCATCTATTCTGTCAGGAGGTGTTGGTGATAATTCTACCAATCTTGAAACAGTCCCTGTACTTCCATGGATTCCAAAAACAACAGCTGCCGTGGCTCTGAGGCTTATTGAATTTGATGCAGCTATCTCTTACACTCTTAAACAGAGGGCAGAGACTCACAAGGGAGCTGGGGAATGTACGGTGAGCACTTCTTTTTATACTGTGAATAAGTCCTGGATATATAAAGCAGAAATACTAGTCCCAAGAAAGAGAAAGAAGATGAGATTCCTTTTGCTATGGGTGGGCATTGAGAGGATGCTTTGTTATGAGTATACATTTTTCCTTTGGTACAAGAAAAGCATCATGGCTCAAACTTGGAATTTCTACCTAAACTGCACACGAGCATTTAACTCAATGGTTGGTGCATGTAACCAAGTTGGGAAACCCATCACCCTCTATGACCTGAGTTAAACCCAGCTGGTTCTTATGAGTTTTTACTAGTCCCGTATTTGATATCCTCACTTATATATTGAGATCCTACAGCAATTTCAATAATAAGCTCATAATAAGTAGAAAGTTAGGATAAAGTAAAGTTCTTTCATTTTTCCTATCTTAAGGGAAAACTTTGGGTTTGGGGTTTTGTGGTCCTTGGCTCTTAGCCTCTTACCATGAGAACCTCAATCTAACTTCCAAGAGATTGCCATGGAAGCATCATTTTTATGCTTTATCTTGAAGAGTTTGGTGTGGAGGGTGTTAGTCATGGTTTCACACCTACTATTTGCCAATGACCTGGACTCTTAATCAAAACTCCTGGTTTGAAATAATATATACTATTTGTTATTTCCAAGTAATTAATTGTTTGCTGTTTCTGTTATTTTCTTTCAAGAAGCTTCCTTCAAAATATGCTGTTGTGAAGAACAATCAAGATCATGAGAGAATGCAAACCACGAACCGAGTTGAATATCTACAAGAAGCAAGCTGGGCTGATGTAGGGATAGGAGGGATAGGATTTTCTGGTTCTGGCCGTGGACGAGGTCGTGGAAGGGGCCGCGGTGTGACACGTGGTGGAAGATCTCAGAGAAGGCCTACTGGTTCAAGATCTGAATTCAGCAAGAGAATTACGACCACCGACAATGAGAGATTAGGGCCAGTACTGGGATGGAAATCTCGATCACGTGGCCGGGGTGGGCGTAAGCGTGGTCGTCGTAGCGCCAGGAGTAGGCCAAAACCAGCAAAGAAAATGGTTGAGATTGCTGGTGAAAGCGAGAACCCCGAGGAAATCATGGAGAAATCATCTAGAAATTTGGCGACAAATACCTGGAATGGAGACGAAGTAACTAGGTTACAAGTGAGGACTGCTGATAACGCTAGCAGCTCTGAAAGATCTGAATACAATGACGAAAATGGTCAAGCAACAGGAGATGAATTTGATTATCTGGCAGGCGAAGACTATGCAGGCAGTTTCAATGGCAAAGCTGATGATGTGATGGAGGGAAGTGAGTACAATATAGATGGTGATGAAGGTGATGAAGATGATAATGGTGAAGAGCGAGATGACATTGCAGAAGAGGAGCAAGGGAATTTTATTGTTGGAGGGTACATAAATGAGAATTCAGATGAGGAGGAAATCAGGGATGGAGATGATCCGGAGGACTCAGACCCATATGTAAAGCAATACGGATATTCAACCGAAGCATCTTCAGATTTCAGTGAGTGAAGGCCTTGCTGCAAATGCTGAGAGGACTTGTTCGATGGCGCATCACTCGCTGTATTTAAACTGTAGTTTTAATGGAGGATTGGTAACTGTGTAAAGCACCTCCGCAATACTAGAAATATAATATAAATGAATGGCTTTTAAATTATCTTGTTACCAGTATTTCATCCTCTGAGACCCCTGTTTTCATTAGGGTTACTTGTGGGCTTTTGTTTGCTTTTGGGAACCGGAAAGCCTGGGAAGAAATTAATATCTGAACTTAAAAAGGAGTGTTTGGGAAATAATCTTTTGTAAATAGTGATTGTAGCCACATCAGTAAGGCGAATTTTACAGTAAGATGATAAAATTTGATCTTATAGATACGTAAGAATAAATCTCAACGGTTGATGTGCATGACCGAGAAAGTTGAATTAGCATTTCATGGACAAGTAAAGGAGAATTAAGTTTTCCTTTTCCTTTTCCTTTCCCTCGTTTTATTTTTAATTTTGGTTCACTCTGTTTTGCTCCTTTTGTATGCTTATTTGTCATCCTCTTCAAAAGTTACAGAAATCGGCAAGGCAGGCTCCACGTCAAGCATGTCGACGTTGCGCTTTTTGGGTTTGACAAGTCTCTTGTCAACATGATGTTTAAAGCTTCCTTTCATTTTGGTCAAACCAACTAGGCTTGCCTTGTCTCTGGAAAACAAAGATTCAGGACCTTGTTTACGCTTCTCGCCCGACAATTTCAGTTCTCAACCCTTGTGCTGGGCTTTTGGGTTTGCATGCCCTCCTTGTCAGACTGGGCTGCGTTGATTGTGATGCCTATGTTAGGACTAGTTTGCTCTGTTCCTCTATAAATTGATGCTCTATGTTTTGTTTCCTTCCACGTGTTTTGTAAGTTATTAAGCTTGTTGACGATACGAGGAGGGTTCATTAATGCTACTATCATCATATATTCTGTTTACTCTTCGGAGAAGAAGATTGAACATGTCTTCCTTTTGTGGTCTGTGGCGTCTAGATCCTAAACATGGAGACCAATCTCCTCATCTGTGGGTCTCAAACAATTATGTAAGATAATATTATTCATTCTTTATGATATGCAAAATAAAACCAACGCCTGTTTATTCTTAACCATTTGAGGCTACAGATTGATGATGACGATTGACATTCAGTGCATTTGGCGACGCTGGTTGGAGCACCAATTCTGTATCGATTGGTGAATGTGCTGCCAAATCCCTAGATTCTGGAAATATAAGCTTCGTGTGAAGTATCTGGAAACTTCCAAGTGAGTCTTCACAGCAATTCATCTCAAAACCAGCCGAATTTGGCACAAAGTACGGCAACACCTATTCCTGGAAGAGTCACCAGGTAAAAAACCTATAACTTAAGTACATCACTGACACCACTAACACTTTCGCCGTCTTTGTGGTATCCTTAATCCCACCAATAATTAGCATTGAGTGTTTTCAAAGCATTCAACCTTTCCAGGAGAAATAAAGCTGATTAACATGCTTTGAGGAAACAGGAAACTTTTTGCTGCATATAGTGGACTCAACTCAAGTATTTGATCTGTAAATATGGGAAGCAGCTTTGATATTTTGGTCATATCATACATACGAATAAACTGCAATTCCAAATTGTAGCTTATCACAGTTTCTTTGCTTTGACCAATCGCAACTCTAATTTTTTGGACAAAATGGTGTAAATAATCAAAGCATACTACACAGGTTTTTGCACACATCATATAAACATTTTGCACCATTAATGCACTATGCTACTTTTTTTCTCAGTACTTAATCCCTCGTTGGATTGAAACACCTTGCCTATTTCTTTTAAAGCATTTAAAATGACATTCTTCCCACCTTATTTACCTTTTTTGAAGCCTTTGAAATGACATTTTTCCCCACCCAATATAACAATACTCTCGTAGCCGTTGGTCACCTTCATTGCCTCTCATTTGGAGGTGTTTGACGTGAGCTGAGATTAAGTTGGGTTTGCTCCGTTGGTCACCTCGCGTGCCTTCCCTGTGGAGGTGTTTGGCATGAGTCAAGTTTAAGTTGAATTTGTTATGATGTCACTTATCACGAGATCATTACTTTTATCGTAACGTTTATAAATGTGTAAAGGTTTTTTATTAACACGATGTGAAATTCAAGCAACTAAACTTATTTTTCCTTAAAAATTAAAGATGACACTTCTATTATGTAACTTCTATATAATAATTCATCATTTCACCATATCCAAATCTCAAGTATAAAAAACTTATTTCCATGTTACTTATTTTAATACTCAATACATTTATAGAATAGATCAGAATTTAATGATTAACAACTCCTGCTGCAGAGCTTAGATCGTTAAAATATCTGGAAAAGGTCCACTTTGTGTGATACCAAAATGAATAATCAATCAATTACTAGCAGAGTACAGTATTTGCATAGACCATTAGCGTGGCCAATTAAAGATAATTAAGCGTAATTAATTATTGTTTTGCTCAAGTGTCAAGAGCAGTAAGCGTAAGAAGTTTTGGGTTGGAGGGATGGTTTTCCGCATCAGAAAGCAGAGGCAGAGTGTGCAGAATGGATTGGCGAGTCTTCAACAAATCTAACCAAGAGTATCAAAATCAAGTTTTCTACTCAATCAATCAAAAAACCAACCAATATTGCTCCCTTCTATCTGTAAGATCTCACAGCCATCTGAAATGTAAGTATTCACAGTTAGTTCACCTTTTGTATTGCTTTTCAAAAAAAAAGGAAAAAAGAAAGTTCACCCTTTGTATCCAAAAGTGAAAATTCGCCAACATCAGTATCAAGGACCCAAGAGCTTCTTGATTCCAGATTTTTGTTCTGTTGTCAGCCTTGTTGGGAACTCGATGTTGAATTTGATTCTCAAGTTTCCTCTCTTTGTAGGATCTTTTGAGAGCGGCATCCCTTCCCCTGGAACCACTTCCTCATGGTTTAGATGAATTACATCGTTGATTGGAATGGTTAAGTTCCTGCCGTCCAGGGTAGTGAGATGAACAGTATAACCTGTCAAGGCTTCCGCAAGAGAGATCCTTTGTGTGACAATCAAGTCATTGCCATCCCGGATGAACACACTGTGGGGCTTCTCAGCAATGACAAAGACAATATCTGCAGGTATAACATTTGGCTGTTCATTCCCTTTCTCTTTGAATGTGATTTTCGTATCTACCTTCCATCCGGGAATCACATCAATGGTTAAAATATCTTCCTCCTGCGAGGTTTTGCTGCAACCGCAAATACAGAACAAGTTAATTATCGAATTTCAAGCCTTTTATCAAGAAATCACGCATTCATGCAAAAACATGGAAGCCCCCAGAGAAGATATTGCTAGAGATAACTGCTCTACCAAAGAATTTTTATAAGCTTTCATCTTCTGTTGCAAGGTGGACAATTTCTTAAATGGAACATTATTCTCAGGACTTTTGGTTTCACAAGCTTAACCACACTACATAAATCTCTCCGTATTCATGTAAAACACAAAATCTTGTGTCCCCAAACTATACCAACACCTTTATATGCACATGCTTTTTCATAACAACATAACTACATCAGCTGGTTAAATCACTATCATAGGAACGTTAATGAGAACTGATGTACACAACCTTAGGTCATCACAACCAAAATGCGTGTGCAACTAACAAGCAAAATCCAATAATGGAGAAGAACTACAACCTAAGATTCACATACAAAGGTAGAAGCCATCAAAGTGTTAGGTGAAATCAAGTAGCTGAGTTAATTTCACATATTACAGAGAAAGAACTATATTTCCCAACAAAAACAGAAATCAGAAGCCAATTGAGAAAAAAACTAAAAGACTTACCCACTGCCATCAGCAATCTCTCGAGTGATCTTCATCTTCTTAGTAGTCCCTTTATATAACTCTTCAAGGCTACAAGGCAACGCATACTCTATCGGAGGTGCTTTTCTTGGACCACCTGGGTGCACTGGCCCACGTCCCCCTCCCATTCCTTCACCAAAAGATCCTAAAATATCATCACCAAAAAGTGAACTATTGAATCTTGTGCCTCTCATGCCGCTGCCACTACTAAAAGTTCTAGAAAAACTCCATAACTCCGCAAACATGTCCTCAGCGTCCCGTGAATTGAATCGGGACGCTGTTGGTCCATCCCCTGTAGAGAACAAGGAAGCTACTTCAGATTCTGGCGGTGACGCTGCACCTTTTACACCCTCTTCACCGTATATATCATACAATGCTCTTTTCTGGGGATCACTTAACACCTATCAAAAAGAACATGATAGATTCAATAAAGAACCAATAAAACTCAGATTGTCTTAGATAGAATTCTGATCATGAGCAGTCTCAATATACACAAAAAAAGAGAAAACTACAAACACCCAGATCATCATATGAGGACTAATGATGGTTAATGCCATAGAAATTAGAAATTGAGCTACCTCTCCTTCTAATGAAACTTAAAAACTTGATGAAAATAACACGCATCATAACCAACAAAACTGAAGCAATTGAAGCTGAATAGCTCTTAACAATATGTGGATCCTCAAAAAGAAATTACTGTAGTGCTAAAACTGCATATGCCCCCGAAAAAGAAAACCAACGACAAGAACAAAAGATTGAATCTTTTAGTGCATTAGCTGAAGAAGAGAAAGCTTTGATACCTCATAGGCTTCAGCGATTTGCTTGAATTTAGCTTCAGCTTCTTTCTTGTTCTTTGGGTTCTTATCAGGATGCCATTTCAAAACCAACTTCCTATATACCTTTTTCAAGTCTTCATCTTTCGCATTCCTATCTACTTGCAGTATCTTGTAATAATCAACTCCCGTCATTCCTTCTTCCTTCTTCTTCTTCTTCTTCACTTTCACTTAATATGTATATTCCGTTTTATTCTTTTCTATTTCTTCTATGGTTCTTTCTTTCTTGGTTCTTTTTTTCTGATTATGAAGATTGAATCTTGCACAAAGGACAAATCTTTTTGTTGACTGAGGTTTGTGGTGGCCTTTATTACTTAGACAAGCTATCTGTCAGATTGGTGTGGAAGGTTGCGGAAACCACCTTCCAAACACTATTATAGCAGCCACTTAATCATTTTAGGTTTATTAGTTATCGTATAGTAATTAATAAAATCATGATCCTTTCTTTTTGTTTATTAAAATAATTAAAAAATTTGTTTTCATCAAGAACGAAAATGATCTTTGCATATACAAAAAGACTAGTGGGAATGCTGTTGTGTTCTTAGTGCTATATATTGATTAGATATTGCTCACAGGGAACAACGTTGTTATACTACAACCAACCAAAAGTTAGTTATCCAAGAGGTTCTCCTAAACCCTAAACCCGTAAACCAATCGAGCATGTTTTGTAAAAAACATTAATTGTTCTTGATTTAATGCATTACAATAGTAAAAGGTTTTCTTTATATATGAGTTTATACACTTTCATATGTTTATTATTTATAAGATAAAGTTTTTACAGAAAATATGTTTTGCATAGGAATTATAATGCGTTATAATTATAAAATTCTCACTACATCAAAACATTACTCCTAAACAATTCTTAGTTGATGTTTTATCAAGATAAGACATTGATAGAAACAAAAATTGTTACATATGTTGTGTTTCTTACTTATGAAATAAGCAATCAATTTCCTAGATTCAAGTATGTTGGGATATTTGAAACTAACATATCGATACTTGTCACAAGAACAAGTTGATTGAATATGACCTACCGTGGTAATTTCATTTTGTATCTCACTGAAGTACCTATAAAAATATATTCATGTGTCAACGGTGTGAGTGATATGTAGACTTGAAATCTTTATGTCATCTTATGTAGGGATTACAATACTTTGATATTACCTTAGGTAGTCCAAATGTAAAAATAAGGTATACTTTAAGTCTAGTATGAAACATGTGAAGATAAATGAATAATAGATCAATGGTATGCCATCTTAAGTGACTTAAAGGAGATATCTCAATAATTATTGGCATGACATAGCTCAATCAAATCTTTGACCAAAGTTGAGTGAAGATTAAAAATGAGTTTTCAAATTTCATTAATAAGTTAAGAAGATTGAGATCTAAAATGATAGAGACAAACACAGAGTAGAAATTACACTATGTTCTATGTTTTATTGAAAATTAGATACTAAGAGATTGAATTACATTAATTGATTGAACATTGAAAAGTTAAATCAAATCTCTTTGAATTTTTTTAAAATTTAAGTAATCATGACAAATTACTAAATGTTACACTGAAAAATGATGCAGTTAACCGACGGAACTAATTTAATAGATTTAAGTGGAGCTTGTGTTAGTAGAAAAGCCACTAAGGCTGCTGATTGGAATCTAATTCAATTCAAACAGGGAATGTGCCTTTCCTATTGGGTAGATTTGCCCACCCTCTCTTGTGTTCATTCTTAGTAGAGAGATGGCCTGGCTGGGCCCTCTAGCTAACAATTTGGAAATTCCTTTAGGAGCCTTGAGTTACTTGGGTTGTGGGATGTTCCTAAAGACATTATGATAATGAAGTAATTCCTTTGTAAAATTGAACTTACCCCCGAAAGGAAAAATTAAAGTTTATAGCAAGGCATTCGACCTTTCGGTTCTTTAGACAATTGGCATCATTTGGATCAGAGCTCAAAGTTGAAAAGAAATTTAAAAGTTTAACCTACACCTCTATAAAACTGATCAAAGTGCGCACTAGTTCAAGCTGGCAACGTTTTACTCATTCGCCATCATTTTGTTCCCATGGAATAAATCCGAAGACGAAACCCCAGCTAAGGTAGAACAAATCAGAATCGTCCACGTACGCCAAAAGAGAAAGCATTTGTAATCAAGAATCAATGCTGAAAGCTATTATTCGTCCAAGAGTAATAAATGCAATCAATGGCATTCATACAATTTAAAGGAAATCACATATTCTGATAATATACTAAAAATCGAACTATATCAAAACCAAAAATGGTAATTTCTCTAAGATCGATCACAGAAAAAAAACTTACAATAAAAAAAAAAATCTGTTCAAGACATATCAGAAATAGAGGCAACATCAACAGGGTATTTGATCAATAAACCATCTAAGTACTTTAACAGGAAGCTTGATAAGATCCATAGCAAAGTTGGCAAGTCCCGCACAGCATATGCAACAAGGGCATAGGCAGCTTAATATGGTCCTGCCATTACCAAGATTCAACGCAGCATCAGAAATTCAGACCAAGAAACACGTTTTCCACTCAAAAGGCAAGAAAAAAAAGAATCTAACGTGACCATTGACTCTCCCTAAAACCAAAAACCAGTTTTTATACTTAAATCGAAGAAACTTGTGTGTTCAAAGAGAGTTTGCAGATTGTTGCAAAGAAAAGACAAAAGAAGGGAACCCCCACCAAAAAAATACTACTAAAAGAATTAAAGAAGACTTACCCAAGAACCCAGATAACAGCACCAACGACAGACAAAACCACTGCAACAAGGGCAAAAGGCAGCCCCAGTAGGAACCCCAACGGTCTGCAATCTCCCATTTTCTCTGTAAAATCCCTTCAATATGTTTTCCTTCTGTTTTTTGGAGAGGGAGGGTCTATAAAAGATATATACTCGGCAAGGCAGACGCGGAAAGTAACCACCGCCCAGCTACAATGACTGATGTACCCCTGATGAAGTATGGAATTTCCGCTATTGTTGGTGTTCTTCTGTTTAGGTCAATTGGGTACAATGGGCATAGTGTTTCGGAACCTTCCTTATTGTTTCATAATTTAAACAACTACGAGATCATAAAGTCAGGATCCCAACTGGCGTATAAGGGACTTCAACTTGTTTTTCACATTGGCACAAATTTGAAAATTAATTGCTTCGTTTCCCATTTAGTCAAATTATGTAATTAGTCTTTGTACTCTTTAATATGTATTTAATATTTATATAATAATTTATGTAAATTGAGTTTATATTTTTCTAATTTGTTAATTTTAATTCAAATGCTAACACAGTTAAAATTTCACTAATAATTATTTTAAAATAATATTTTAATTAAGTTGATATGGCATTAATTGAGATGATATGTTGTTTTCTTGATAATGTGACATTGAATATATATTAACATCGCATTTTACACTTATAGCTTTTAATATGATGTTATTTTATTGTTACGATTCAAACCCAAAGTCATGACAGGTGCGTGAATTTTGTAAATAAAGTTCACAAGTTTCGAGCAAATTTCATATAAAACGAGTAGACATGAACAATAATTCACAAAACCAAAGTAGTGCATTTTGTAACATAAGTTAAAATATCTCTCTTTTTAACAAACGGCTCACAACATTTCATCCAACAAGAGTTCATCCAAGTACTATTTATAAGAGCCATATATTAGCTAATGTAATGGGTCCAAGCCCGGACAAAATAAACCAGAGTTTGTACATCATTAGTGCTGATACAAATGCCATCAAACCAAAACAATTGACATTAATACCAAAATCAATGGAGTGGACTTGTAAATTAAGATTCCTACCGGATGTCATTGCTCCCCTCATGGAAACTTCCACAAGCTATTTATCTTCACAAAGCAACAATTAGTTAGAGTGAGTTTTTCATAATTTAGTGAGTGAGCGTAGAAAGGAAACAAGCATAACGAAAGAGTTTTTATTCTAAAAACAACATTTAAAAACATTTAATCTGTAACATGTATGTATGTGTAGAATATATACCAAGTATGCAACATATGGCATAAACAAACCAATACAAGAGCCATTCAAGGGCTAAATATGGAACTCGCCATTATCGCTAGTTTGTCAGATTCTCATTCAAATAAATCTCAACAAGGTGCCTTAATAGGATATAAATTCAAGGTAGCATATACTTACCAATTTATCAAATGCTCAAAAGCCGCCATCATGGTGATATCAAGAGAAGGGTCCACTTCATAAACAAGACATGTCTGAGATCAAGGTCACTGACAGTAAAACAAAACCATGGGGTTGTGGCTCATTTTTACCAGGCCATATCATCGTCCGGATCTTTATTTATCAGAGGGACTTAATTTGTTCATTTCCACAAAGGTAAATATCTAGCAACAATTCAATGATTATTATAATAAATGGCATAGAATTAAATGAGATGACGTAATATTTTTTTGATGATATGATATTGACTATTGTTGACATGATGTTTTACAGTTATCGCTTTTAATAAAATGTTCTTTTATCTTAAACAAATCTACTTATAGTCAAATATATTACTAGTTAGTATCTTAAACTTTAAACTAAGCTTTTAAGCTTAACCCTTTACTATTAGATTTTGTAATTATCCCTTTATTAGAATATACTCCTTTTTTTTTGAAAACCAACATTTACATTAAATCAAAATACCATTTTTTTTTTAAATTCGTCAACCCAATGACAAGACTACAACCACCATTTAAGGCAAAGTCTACACAAGTTGACCGGCCGGCAAGATCGGAGCATCAATCTAATTCATGTTTTTTTCAATGATCCAATTCTCAAATTGACAACACAATCACAAACAATTTGTTTCTTGTTCAAGTTCATTTTTTCTAAAGCTTCTCACTCTTGAAAACAGGATTAGCCTTAGCAATCGCCTCGTTTCCCATCCTTTGAAGTTAAGGTGTAAACCGTGCAGTGTAGTACCTATAGGTGTCACATAAAACCACCCCACACCCGCACTTGAAACCCATGCACTTCTTGCAAGTCAAGCATTGACTGGGTCTAACTTGAATCTGAATTTCCTCCACATTCACCTCTTTTTTCGTTTCTGCATCTTTCATTGCTAAGGAACCCAAAAATGGGTATGAGATCAATGAAGATGATGGCAAAGACTAAGACAGAGGAACGAGGGTTTGATTGTTGGCTTGTTTGGTAGAGAAACATTGCTGGGTTTTAAGCAGGAGATCGAGATAATATTTAGTGCTTGTTTGATCTGGTTTTTTTTCAATTTATCTATCTCTTAAAAATAAAAGTCAAATTAAATATAAATTTTAAAAAACTTTTTTAAAAAAGTAACTTTTTTTTAAAGAATAAAATTTTTTAAAAAAGAGTTTCAAGAAAAGCTCTTATGAGGAGCTTTTTCTTTTCTTTTTTTTAAATACAAAAAAAATTTTATTTTTTTTTGAAAAATTCTCATTTGTTAAAAATAATTATAATATTACCCTCTAAAAAAAATCCTTTATGTTAATTTTAACCAAAATTATAACTTATAAAAAAAATTTACCAAACAATTTTAGCTTAATTCTAAATACTATTATTTTTTTACAAGAGCTTTATAATAACTTTTAAACTAAAAAAAAAAATTAAACCATACAGGTTTTTAGAACAAAGATTTTGGCTTGTAGGGCTCTCTCACCAAAGGGTTTGAAGTAAGGAGGAAAAAAGAGTGAGAACAACTTTTAGGTTTAGTTTAGATTTAAATACTACCTCAATACTACATCGTTTGGAGACAAAAGAGAGAAGAAAAAGTGGTATCCATGTCAGCATTTCAATAAATGCCATGTCATGTTAACTTGATCAGATATCAAATTAATAATTTTAACAATAAAAATTTAATAATATCAAAATTTGAATTGAAATCAACAATTGAGAAAGTACAAAAACTAAATTTACATGATTTATCGTACAGAGATTAAATTTATATTTTTTTATAAAATATGGATATTAATTATATAATTTAAACTTCCCATCTTGGTGAGCGATGCTGAATATAAAGGAATTCAGATTTCTTGTACCAATTTGTTAAGAAAACTGGACTTGTTTTTCCAAGTCTATGAGTCTGCTTTTTGTTACTGGGTCAGGGGCCCAACTGTAAAGCCTAAGGACATGGGAAAAAAGAGAGATTAATACTATTGCTTAGGATAAAGCAATTCATAAGGAATAATTGTGGGGCTCAAAGAGGACGGAGATGTCTTCTAAAACTAATTTGTTTGTGAAATGCCCCTTCAGAAAGATAAAATTGCTTACCTTCAATTATCAAAAAAACCTAATTTGTGTTAAAGTACCAACTGCCCTTAATTCACATTCAAGAATTTCTTCGAATGGTTACATGGTGCAAGTGACGTGACATAAAGGAAATGTATTTTCTATGAGAGATGTCAGAATGATGGGTTTGGAAGGCTTAGTACAATGAGTTTGGACTAAAGGCTCAAGGTTATAGCCTGTGGAAGGCTTAGTACAATGAGTTCGGACTAAAGGCTCAAGGTTTTAGCCTGCCAGGAACAATGAGGCTATTGTACTTCATGGACTTCGTCAAGGTATTAGATCACTCTTGACACTTTCAGCTTTTAAGAAGCTAAGTAATAAAAATTATCCAAGTTTGCTATTTCTCATGGGGACTAAGAATAAGGAAAGCAAGGTGGAAAAGTTTAGATATGTAATGAAGTTTCAACATATATGTTATGTTTCACTTCAAGGGCATAATTGGGGATTAGCTTGGTGCTGCATTGGCACTAAGGTTGTGGAAGTAGAAAGTGGAGTGTGTTGTAAGATTTTGTGGATAGATGGCTCTGCTGAGCAAGAGGTTTAGAGGTTTATAATAAATAGAGTAGCCACCTTTAAAATCCTTTCTCTTTATGGGGAATATAAATGACATTCTTTACTATCATGAAAAAAGGAACGAAATTTGAGAGCTACCAAGAAGATTAATCAATTGAGTATGATAGATCTTTAATTAACTTGTACTTAATAAGGGTAGAGATTTACATT